TGACTGCTGGTGTTAAAAGTGTTGATTGTGGAGCCAAGCAAGCTGTAATTGTTTACAACCTCAATCTCTTCACCATCTATCATGATGTTACCAATTGGCCCAGTGGTGAGAATCTTTGTCTTCTTGATGTTGAGCTTCAATCTCCATATTGAAGACTACAGTCCTTGACCTTTTGCAGCCAATGCTTCAGGTCCTCCTCAGTTAGACAGGATTAGGTCTTACACAGTGGCCAAAGGTACAGGACACATGTAGACAGCTCACAGGTGTCCCGATTCCCTGCCTATGTCAGGCAGTGAGTACTCTAAGAGTTCAGGACTCTAACCCTTAATGACAAAGAACATAAAATTGACCACTTGACGTAGCTCTGTGCGTGGACGGTAACATCTCAGCAGATGCCCAGTAGAACAGGCCAAGCCTGCATTTATGCTCCTCCAACTATCAAATGACCTAGAATTAAGTCTGCATTCAGGAAACCTCAGAACTGACACTTTAACAGCCAGCTTCTCTCATCCCATCAGTTTTCTGAGATCTTTGGCAGTTCCCTCCAAGGAAAACCACCTGGAGGAAAAGAATTGAAAGACAACCAAGCTCCACGTAGAATCCAAAGTGACGGCAGCAAACCGCCCACCTTCCAGAGCAAGAGTGCAGGGCTGAAGCACAAACCCGTCCCACCCGGTGCTGCCAAACGGCCTCATTCCTGAGGAGCTGTCCAGGTAACTGGCACGGACTCATCTCAATCCACAGAGAACCAAAACCAACTTTAAGTCAGATTTGTGGTTCAGCCTGATGTCTCAAAGTGAAATGTCAGTTACGAAAGTTTTCAAAAGACAAGACCAATCATCCTTGGTAGATTTAAGGGGAAAATTTTCAAAATGGCTGGGGGGAGGGGTGCGTCTCGGAGGAACGTTCCTGCAGTGAGCTTTCTAAAGGACTTATTTATAAATCACTCGGTGAGACTGTCAAAGAGCTCACACTCCATGGCTTAGTTATCTTACACACACACTCTATTGAATATACCGTGGAAAATGAAGAGGTTTGTCCTGGAGAGGGTTAAACCAGGCGGCTCCTTGGAGGCAAGGATTCTGAAGTTCCGTCTGATATACTCTGGCCATGTTGCAAGGACGGACCAGCCCTTGGAGAGGGACGTCATGCTTGGGAGGGTGGAGCGACAGTGCAGGAGAGGAAGACCCTCGGTGAGATGGAGTGACTCAGTGACTGGGGTAATGGAGGTAGGTGTGTCGGAACAGTGAGATTGGCACAGTATAGAGCAGGGTTTAGGGCTGTTGTCCATAGGGTTGTTATGAGTCACAGGCGATTCGATGGCACATAACAACTATATAGATAGAGATAGAGATAGAGATAGAGATAGAGATAGAGATAGAGATAGAGATAGAGATAGAGATAGATAAAAATAGATATAGATGATAGAGATATAGAGAGATATAGATGATATAGATATCAATATCTATATCGATGATATAGATATAGAGATAGAGATATATATAGATATAGATATATATGCATATATATACATATAGATACATATATGTATACATATACACACAAACACATACATATACATAAATATATGTGTATATAGTGGGAGACAGACGGGCAGTCTCCTTTCATGCTAATTACAGCCTCTGAAAACCCGCTGGAGGGTCAGCTATGGGTCAGTGCCTTTGGCGGTACACAACAACAACACACGTATTTGGTAGGGCTTTCTGTAATACAAACACCACGAGCAGACGGCGTTAGCACACACACATTTACACTCTCACAGTTAAGAGACTTCTGAGGTGGCATCAACTGGACCACAACTCACAGCAGCCTTGTGAGCGCAGGTCTGAACCTGCCCTGTGCCGTCCGCGCCACCTCTGGTGTGTCCAGCCCGTGGGGACGGTCACCGTGTCAGCCCACCTCGGGGAGGGCCTTCCTCTTTTTCGCTGACCCTCCACTCTCCCAGCAGGATGTCTTTTTCCAGGCCTGGGCCTGACGGACCACACGCACCCCCGTCTGTGAGACAGAGCTTCACCATCCTGGCCTCGAACAAGCGCTCTAGCTGGACTTCTCCCCAAACAGCCCTGTCTGCCCTTTCGGCCATCCACAGAACATACATCACTCTTCTCCAACGCCACACCTCAGAACCAACCCATAACTGACCCTCCACAGAGTTTTCAGAGGCTGTAAATCACAAGGGAGGAGACTGCCCAACTTTCTTCCACCAGAGCAAACAGTGGATTTGAACCTCTCCCCTTTGGGTTGGCAGCTCAGCTCCATACCCCTGGGCCACCAGAGATTCCTTCTTCAGAGCCTAGCAGTCTTATCCAGGGCGCTGGCTCTGGGGAAAATCTAATTAAACCAACTGAGTCAAGGCCATGACCTGAACAAGGGGGAGGCATCCCACCCTAATGTCCTCACAGCTGATGGCACCACTGGGCTGAGGAAATCATTATGTCACTGCTGACCGCATCACCCCGTGCCAGACCCCTGAGAGGCAGGGCCCCGCTGAGGCCTAGTTCAAGAGGGACATAATGCAGCCTACCAGATTCCATCAGGAGTACATCACGATGAAACTAGAACTCTGCTCTCCCCTTGCACGTTACTACTATGTTTACTCAAAAGAAAGGTGGCTCACATTACAATCTCTGCTTCCACCCAAGAAACATTTCCTTTTCCTTGTTCTAAATTCCCCCGGTCTTGTTTCCTCAGTTAGACTGCAGGCTCGTGGACATCGGGGTCCACGCACGATCACCACGCCCACCTGCCTCCTTCGGCAGCAGCAGACCTGCTGGCCCAGGACCTTCCACGAGGTACAAGCTCCAGGAGTGTTGGCAAGTGAACAAATGCACGGAGGAATCAATGAATGAGGGAGCGCAGGCTTGTCAGCTCTGGTTCCTTCTCCTGGCCTTGCTGCAGACGCCCACGGACGGTTATCTGCTGTATAAACTTTGTATTTAGCTCTCAAACACATTACGTTTGGCAGCCGAGAGTCAAGCCTTCCTTCCACAGGGGCGCTGGCTAATGAACTTCCTCTGGACTGATAAGGAATCTGGACAGTTTATCTAAGGTGACATCTCTCTCAATGCAGTCTACTTGGAAAACACCAGAAACGGACTTCCTCTTTGAGAGCTAAATAGTTCGCTTAATGGCACCCATAGCTGTCAGAACACTGGCAGACGTTGTGAGAAAGATCATTTTAACTGCCTTTATTAAAAATAGATCAGATAAGCCTTCCTTGGGTTTGTTTTTAGAACCTGAACTCCCCGCCGAGCAGGAAAATGTCACGCAGGGCCCTTTGCTGTTTTGTTTTAATACTGTCAGGTCTCTTCTTCAAGAAGGAAAAGCCTATGGTGACCACACTGGTCAGAAGAGAATATACTGGACTCTACAACTGCACTTGATAATGACCTCGTTTCCCATCCCACTCGCCACTCTTCCCACTGCGGATGGAAGGGAGGGTGGTTCTCTTATTTGTTTCTACTTTATTCTAAATGGTACCAAGCATTTACTTCCTTTCAAAAACAAAACAAAAAATCAATTACAATTCCCCAGCCTGAAAGCTGCCCGAGGAATTTCATTCCCTGAAATTCTTATTAAGAAGCTGGAGTGGTCACTAAAGTCATTGGGCAGCTGGCCGACTCCAGACAAGATGGGACTGGAGCCCAGGAGGTGGCCGTCGCCCTATTCTGGAAAACCCTCTGAAGAGGGGACGTCACCTCACATCAGGGTCTCCTGTGAAGAAGTTGCTCTACAGTCTCAAAGGCGTTAGCTCAGTGGTTCGAAGGTTCAAAGCCAGCAGTTGTTCTGAAGGAGGAGGGGAATCTGTTCCCACGTCGATTTACTGGCTCTAAAAAGCCACTGGGGGGTCAGCTAGGAGTCAGTTCTGACTCGATGGCTTACACACACACACACACACACACACACACACACACACACACAGCTGGACTCCAAGGCATTCCTCCTGAAGCCTTGAAGGAACATGGTGACCACGTGGCTAACTCAAAGGCTCCCACCACTGGCAGCTCTAATCTGTCAGCGGTTCCCAGGGAGAAGGACAGACAGTCTCCCCAGTGCAATTCACGGCCTCAGGAGCCCACTGGAGGGTCAGCTATGCCCTGGGATGTGCCAACGGCCTTGAGCTGAAGTGAATCTTGCCGGCAGAGTGTCACATCTTTCTCTGAGGGGCAGCCGGTGGGTGTGGAGCGTTGGTCTTTATTTACCTCTGTGCCACCAGGGAGCCTGAAGATACCAGACAGCAGTCGGGGGGAATCAGGGTGCTCTCCAGATTAACAGCGGTCTGCTCGGCCTGGCTACGTCACAGGGCACCCTGGTGGACAGTCCGGAGGGAGCTGTGCTGCCCACCCAGAGGCAGGGCCTCTCTGGAAGTTCAAACCCACCGGCTGCTTCCTGGGAGAAAGATGGACAATCTCCCCCCACCGCGTGCCTGGAAGCACACTCCCTGGAGGGTCGGCTGGGAGTTGTTCTGACAACGGGTTTGCACTTGAGCCTCATCATACAAAAGAACCTTTTCAGAGAAGACATTTTTCTGTCTGGGTTTTTAAAAAATTAAAGGTGAGAAAGGTCATAAAATGGGCTGCACTACATGTGTGGGGAGCCCTGATGGACTAGCGGGTGAGGAGCTGCACTGTCAACCCAGAGGCAGGCAGTTCAAATCCACCAGCTGCTCTGTGGGAGAAAGACAGGTAATCTCCCCCCAGTGCAATTTACAGCCTCTGAAAACACACTGGAGTGACAGCTTTGGGTCAGTTCTCAAGCATGTCTCTGTCTGTCATCTCTCTCTCTCTCTCTATCTCTATCTCCAGTCAGGTGGGCATTTGGTTTTCCTCCCAAGACATCAAGCAATTCCTCTCGGGCTGTCCAACTCCATTTATTATCGGGAAAAGGGCAGTAGTGCTGGGAAGGCCGTGTGAATCCCAGCGAGTCACTTGACACTAGCCACCGCCTGGTGCTGACCACCCAGCACAGGGATGTCTTACCTCTCGGTCTTCCTGACCAGGATGGCCCTGAAGATGTGCTCCAGGGGTGTCCTCCCCCATTCCTGGGTGGGCTGCACGAAGGGGTGCAGGGTGGCCAGCGAGAAGCCCTGCTGGTAGAGCTCCTGGAGCTGGGTGGGCAGGTCCCGCAGGGAGGCCAGCCTCACGGCCGAGGACCGGGGCAGCTCCGCTGGAAAGAGAGGAGAGGGAATGTCAGCAGAGGCCGCAGAGATGTCCACCCCGCCCCATGGAGGCCAGCTTCACAGCAGAAGACCAGGGCAGCTCCGCTGGAGAGAGAGGAGAAAGTTAGCAGAGGCCACAGAGATGTCCACCCTGCCCCATGGAGGTCAGCCTCACGGTCAAGGACCAAGGCAGCTCCACTGGGGAGGGGAGAGGTCAACAGAGGCCTCAGAGATGTCCACCCCACCCCATGGAGGCCAGCCTCATGGAGGACCTGGGCAGCACCACTGGGGAGAGGAGAGGGTCAACAGAGGCCTCAGAGATGTCCACCCCACCCCATGGAGGCCAGCCTCATGGCCGAGGACCAGGGCAGCACCATTGGGGAGTGGAGAGGGTCAGCAGAGGCTGCATAGACATCCACTCCACCCCAGGGAGGCCAGCCTCATGGCCGAGGACCTGGGCAGCACCACTGGGGAGAGGAGAGAGGGGTGAGAGGGTCAACAGAGGCCCCAAAGATGTCCACCCCACCCAATGGAGGCCAGCCTCATGGCTGAGGACCTGGGCAGCACCACTGGGGAGAGGAGAGGGTCAACAGAGGCCTCAGAGATGTCCACCCTGCCCCAGGGAGGCCAGCCTCATGGCCGAGGACCTGGGCAGCACCACTTGGTAGAAGATCAGCAGAGGTCACAGTCCCCACCTCACCCCCGAAAGGCCAGCCTCAAGTCCTAGGACAAGGTCAGCTCAACTATGGGAAGGAGGTAAAGGGTCACCAGTGGCCACAGCCCCCACACTACCCCAGAGAGGCCAGCCTCCGGCTGAGGATTGGAGAACTCTCCCGGGAAGATGGTCGGCCGAGGCCATGCATGGCCCCACCACACCCTGGCCAATTCTGAGCTCCACGACCACCAGCTGCACCCTCCTTTCACCCCAAGCAAAAACTTGAGCTTGTTCCCGTCAACTAGTGACTTCAAACCATAACTGGACCGGTCACAGTCCTACACATCAAAGGCGTGGATCACTGGTTCAAAGGTGGAGAGTTTCCCAGAGACCACACGGGAAAAGCCATTTCCACAGAAACTACAGGCCTGGTGGGGAGGGGCCTATCACAGGAAGGGGCCAGTCTTGTAAAAGGCATCAATCACGTCGAGGGTCAGTAGAGAGGAAGACCCTCAACAAGGTGGACTGACACGGTGACTGTCACAGTGGGCTTAGGCAGGTCAGAGACGGTGGGGACGGCACAGGACAGGGCAGGGCTCAGATGTGCTGTTCACAGGGTCACTCTGAGTCAGTCAACAGCACAGAATCAAAGAACATAAAGAGGAGAGGAAGGAGGGAAGGAAGAGAGGGAGGAAAAGGATCGAGAAAACTACAGTCAAATAGAAAATTTCAGATGGCCAAAAGCCCCAGTACACCCAAAGACAAAAGGCAAACCAGGGCAAAAATGTCCATGACACTAAAGAAACAGGAATGATTTCCTTAACTAACAAAAGAAAGCACGAGATCAAAAGGACGAATGAGAAAACTGCATGATCAGGCAATGGGCTTTAAAACCACTCAGGAGCAACGATTTTAAAAAATACTGTATGACTTGGGAAAGACTTGAGAGCATTATGTTGAGCGAACTCAGTCTCATAAGGACAAACACTGCCTAATACCATTATTGCAAAGAAGAGTAACTAGTAAAACGTGTATGAGGTCCAAAGGGGTACAGAGGTGTGAGCAGAGGGGTGGGGATGGGTAGGGATGAAGTTACAAAGTTGCACAATTTGGTGGGTGGAGCATGGGGTAGAGGAAATGGGAAAGATCAGGGGGGGATCTGAAAAGACAAGGTAACAATAGGCATAGTCCAAAGGTGATTAATTTTATAAAACATATTGTATGGGAATGATTGTATGAAACAAAACATGAATGAGGAATAGTGTGAAATACTATCTATATTAACTTTGTAAGCAAATCAATAAAAATAAAATTAAAAGACACATGTAATAAAGCTTATTCATATTTGAAAAAATACTCAAGTTCACTCACTATTAAAACTATGCATATTAAGCAGTAAGTATTTTTCAGTTCTCAAATTATTTTATAATTTGGAGGTTAAATTGACTTCTTTTTTAGGACAGATAAGGTTCAAAAGTGAAGAGGTGTGGTTTATCCTGAGACATGCCCAGCCCCACCTGCTGTCCAGCTTCCTTCCCTACGTGTCATCAATCACCAGCATTCAGTTTTTGTAGCTGTATTAACAATTAACAATCTCCAAACTCAGACACAAGCCAGTCGGTCTATGGTAAATGCCCTTCCTAGAACAACCTTATACAGCTGCATTTTTTAACAGCATGTCTTTCTTGGAGGCTTTTCCACAGAAGTACACAGAAACCATTCTCATTTTAATCTTCAAACAGATGGATACGATCTCACTGTGTGATGTACCACAGATTATTCAAGGTTTTGCATTTATGATTACTGTTCTAAGAAGAAATACGGCTTCTTCGTGACTCCACATGTGTGCACATGTAGTGTATCTACTAAAGAAATTTCCCGTGTGGAGTTGTGGGATCAAAAATACGTGTGTCTGTAATTTTTTTCAAGGATTGTCAGACTTCCTCCATGGAGGTGGTGCAGATTCACCTTCCTCAGGGATTGGACAGGGGGTCACTAAGAGTCATACTTGACTCAATGGCACCTAACAATAACAACGACAACATAGTGAAAACACTCTGCTCTCAAACTGTTTTATCCTGATGAATCTCATTGTTGTTTCGTGCCATCCCGTCGAAAGCAGCTCCTAGCTGACTCTCCAAAGAGTTCTCAGAAGCAGTTAATCACACAGGAGGAGATTGCCTTTCTCTCTCAAAGCAGCTGGATTTGAACCACATACTTCTGGGTTAGCAGTGTAACTTCTTATCCCTAGGCCACCAGAGCTCTTCAGTTAAATGCATTATTGTTGTTAAGTGCCATCAAGTTGCAGGCAACTCATAGCGACCCTATGAACATAAGACCTGAACACTTTCATCCTTTCTCCAGGTTCATATGGTTTCTGGAGGCAAGCTACTTTGGAAGTGGATGCCACTCCTGCTTCCAAGCTTGTTTGAATCGGGGAGCTCCACCAAACACTGTCCACCATGGGTGACCATTAACTGTATAGCACTCGTCTGTCCATTTGCTGTACAGTTAAACTCAGCTGAGAAAAGAATTGTCTCTGTGAGGTTGTAATATAAATTTCTTGTATAATAAAGTTCCTATTTTCTCTTATTGAACATTGTTTAAATGCTGTTGTATGTCCTTGGCTGTGAAAGGGCCATATGCTCGGGCTGTTTCTCTTGCAGATCATCTACCTCTTTTCTTTTTATATCAGGAAATCCAGCTCTTACTCGTGATGCCTCTTGCAAATATCTCTGTTCAATTTGCTGCTGTCCTTTGGCTCTGCATATATAATGGGACTTTAGGGATGAAATATTTGTTTATGAAGTTGGAGTTTTATATCATGGTACAAAGGCCTGAGATTATAAAACAATTCTCCTGTTATTTCTTGTAATACATATTTCATCTTTTTTTATATAAACCCTTGATCCATTTGGAATTTGTCAGGTATAAAATATGTTATATGAATTCAACACCCTCCCCCAAACTGATCCATTTTTCATTGATTTGAGGTACCCTCTGCACAATATATTAAACTCCTGAATATATTTGAGTTTAAAATTGTGGGCCATTTGTCTGTTTGTGTACCAGCACAACTATATTATTTTCATCCCCTATCTTATTTTAGTGTCTTATTAGGCTATTTCAAGAATCTTCCTATATTCCTGTTTAGTTTTAAAATTCTTCTCTCTATTCTTGTTCATTTTTCCAAATGGTTTTTAAAAATCAGTTTTTCCACCCTTTTTTTTTAAATTGTGTGGACGTGTACTTGACTGTGTTCAAGTTACACCTTTACTGAAAGAAGGGAACACTTCATAGTGCTCCAGACTCCTCTCCAAGAGGAATCTTAGGAAGCTAAGACTCTCCCAAGAGGCCAGGGAAGCTTTATCAAGCGAAATCCTTGGTGGTGCATATTTGTATTGTTAGAACAACAGGAGTTTTGTTTGTACTTTTATGAGACCACTGTTGTGAGGAGGGAAGACACTTGGTAACAGAAACATTTTTTTTAATTTATTATTAATTTCAGTAAAAATTTACAGAGACTTTGGACTTCCATTCATTCATTGTTGCACTTTTCTCCCTTCCCAATCCTCCCTCCTAGTACACTACCCTCTTGGAAAAGTAAAAGAAAAATTCTTTCATTGTTTTACAATCCCTCCCCCAGATCCACTCCACCATGTAGCCTTCACTCTAGACTCCCATCATGACAAAAATACCTAATCACATATCCCTTTTAAACAGTTTTCTCCCTCATCTGTTTCAATGCAGTATACATTAACTGAATCCATCTTTCTCATAGTCTCTCCCCAACCCCAACGTCAGTTCTGTTTTACAACAGTGGCACCATGCACTATTTGTCCTTTTGTGACTGAGATACTTCACTCAGCATAATGTCCTCCAGGGTCACCCATTTTGAATAATATTTCATGAGTTCCTTGTTTTTCAATGCAGCATAGTATTCCATTGTGTGAATATACCACAGCTTCTCTATCCATTTGTTTATTGATGGGCACTTAGGTTGTTTCCAACTCCTTGCTATTGAACAAAGCCACAATAAACATGGGTGTGCATATATCTGTTTGGATGTCTGTTATGGTCTCTTTGGGGTATATTCCCAGTAGTGGAAATGCCGGGTCAAATGGTATCTCTATTTGTTAACTTTTTGAGAAAGCGCCATACTGCCTTCCACAGTGGTTGCACCATTTTACACTCCCACCAACAGTGAATAAGGGTTCCAGAGAAACATTATCTTGAGGGAAAAGTGGTGCCCGCCTTCTGATCTAAAATGCCCAAGCTCCTTGCTCAGTTCCCCAGTGCCAGGACTTCTCCTATGTCCAGACTCTCAAATGCTTCTGAAGAGATACAGACAAA